GTATTTTATACTGGAAGAGTCACTCTGAATCAATACAAAGCTGTTCTGAGTGGTCACCTTTACCCTATGACGAAACACTTCAATCAGCCAGAGAATAGTACATAAAGAAAAAATGTAACTTATAATTTATGGCCTACACAAAAAATATGGGATTATCTTTTGAATTAATGTTCATTGCACCAGTTAAATTCCCGGGACTTGGGAGAAACAATGCCAATACGGCGTGATCCAAAACGTACCACAAAATAGCCGAGTCTAAAGTTGGAGCCACAGATGTGGGCTAACACAAGAAATTCCTCACAAATTTCTTCCAGAGGAATGCATCCCAACTTCTGCTCATTAAGCTAAGCAAAGTTCAGTCTTAAAACATTTTGAAATGTGGGATGGGTCCCCAAAGGCATGACGGAAGAAATGAAATGGCTGTGGATCAGTATCAAATCCACTGAAAATGATATGACATTTTCAGTGATCCTTGACCTTTTTGAGTGGAAGTGGAAAGAAGGAAACGTTGGGTTTTTCTTTAATATGTCATCCATCTGCAGTTGAAAACCCAAATAGAGTCGTGTGCAGTTTTCACAGGACCGTATGCAGTTTAGTTCACTGAGGTTTACTTTTGTTTATGCGCAGCTCTCTAAAGTGCCAACCACAGCATTTCATTCGGGTTGACATCTGGACTTTGGACCATTGCAACTCCTTGATTTTCTTTTTGAGCTGTTCTTTTGTACCCAAAAAGTTGATTCTGTTCATTTTTGGGGGGGATTTCCTTACCTGGATGATTGAGCACATATCAAGACTGTTCTGTTGTAGATTCCATGCTGTGTTTGGGCCCATTGTCCTGTTACATTACACAATTTGGACAAAACTGTCGGGAAAGATTGCCTCAACTTCGACTGTGGATCGCTGTGGGATACAGAGGAGTTCATGGTCGACTCAGTGGCTGTAAAGGTGCCCAGATCATCAGCTCTCCACCTCAGTGCTTCACAGCTTATATGAGGTGTTTGTGCTGATATGTTCTTTGGCTTTAACTACTGACAATGCTGTGCTTTGGGGCCAAACGGCTCCATTTAAGTCTTGTCTTTCCAAATGACATCATTTTAGAGAGAACCCTTCCAAACTAGCCATACTTTTTTGAATTGTACTGTCATGACCTTAGCATCTAACATGTTCACTGAGGCCTGTGGCTTTTGTTGTCTCTCAGCATTGTATGGTCTGACCTTGGGGTGAATTTGCTGCAACCTCCACTGGGAATCCTGTGGTGTTGTGTTAACACACACCTGAATGCTTTAGACCCCCAAACTTCCAAAACTTCTTTTACAGAGGTGCTCACAGTTAGTCAAGTCATTTTGATTAGCAGCACCTCGATGCTTTAATTCCTCTGGAAGACAAAAAGGTTTACTTTTCATCTTCCAGACAGGAAGGACGTAATAAAGGATATTACATGTCCCAGTGTCTGAGGATTACTTTTTCCCGAACAGACGCTGCAACAACACTGATGATTTGTTTGTGCTTGCTTTTGTGCACACGTTGTCAACAGCCGAGTGCAACCCTGCACATTTTTTTTTATTAATTTCATCATCTGTGACAGAGTGTGCACGGACAAGTACTCAGCCCCTGACCTCTGCCTCAGCTGAATGTGAACACACTCCATTTGTACAGTAATAATAGTCCCTCAATGCTGCGTTGCCCTCTGCGATATAATAACCACCCCAGTATTAGACCACTGAGGAGGGGTTTATTAGTCACTACTCAGAGCATTGATTTCCCCCCACAATGCTGAAAGCCTTCTCACTGCTCCAAAGCTGCATCTGTCCCTCTGCGTCTCCCTGAGGACAATAGCCTCATAACACATCTAAGATACGACCCCAGCTTTGTTCTGAATTATTAAAAGCACCCATATCAGACACTGATATTCTCATGCATATCTGTGACCTGACAGCAGTGCCGTATTTGTGCGTGTGTGTGTGTGGATTTGTTGCCACGAACATTGTACTCAGATTTAAGCTCATGTTTCATGTTTGGTTGAATAAGGCCCTTTGTGAGTTCTTCTCACTGCTTCTTTCTTTTCTGATCTATAAATGAGGCTTTTTTTAAACTGAGGCTGGAATCACAGGACACCAACAGAGACCAAAAAGCTCTGACGAGTTGATCTGGCGCTCCTCTTATCAGAGCAGGGCCTTTATTTATCAAGCATCTCACAGTAAGAAATCACAATCAAGAGTGACGTGCTTTAAGCTTCTAAGAAGAAAAACCCACATTATATGAAATGGCTCTTATCTTCTCTAATATTTATGAGAGATTGAGACATGTGCAAACATGTTTGGAGTCACAAGCAGATGGTGTTCAGGCTGAAACGTGCGTTTGAAGCACATGTCATTAATGACTTAAAGCTTATTAAAATGAGGAATTCTTTTATGGACTTTGTGGGAGATTCAGCAGGGTGAATGCAGCTTTGATTCGATTCCAATCACAACCGGTGTTTTTGTTATTTTCCTGGTGCAGCTTTGCGGATATTTTTGTTATTTCCAAACTCTTTGGAGCGAATTAACGAAAAACGAGCTGCATGATTTTTTTAAGAGTGGTGATGTTAAACTTGTTTTACATACAGCTCACTGTGATCTTAAGTGGGCCGGAACAGTGAAACTCCCCTTTCAGTCAGCGTAAAGAAGTTTAACGAAATCAAATTACACTGAGATATTGTAAGAAAAGAAAAAGAAGTGCAATTTCAACTTCACAAAAATGCTGCTCTATTACCAGAATGGGAAAAAAATCTATCAGCACTGTAAGAAATACTGTAATTGAGTTAAAACACTAAAATTTATGCCCTTGTTCGCATTTTCCAAAGATGTGCGCACGTGCAGAGGGCCGGATTGGACTCTTATACGGGCTGATTCTGGTCCCTGGGCCTTTTGTTTGAGACCTCTGGTTTAGAGTTACTGACAGCTGACCTTTACCTAAGATGTAGTTATATTGAGTGACATTTTTCCAACAGTGGGTAGATGAGCTATAATTGGCCTCACCTGTAATAATACACCAGATGATTTGAAATATCAACTGGACTTTTATGAAGAGGAGAAATTCTGTCTTCAATAAAGACACACTCACGCACAGTAAAAGCACGCTGCGGTCCAGTGATTGGACCAGACTGCATATAAAAAGAAGTGATGTAGCCTCCGGGTCTGATAAGTGAAGCAAGTGCCTTTGGATCTGCATTCCTCCTAATGACAGGCAAAGGATGGAGCGGTTAGCACTGCCGCCTCACAGCAAGAAGGTCCCAAGTTTGATTCCACTGGTCGACCGGGTCATTTCTATGTGCTTAGATGTTCTTCCTGTTTCTGCGTGATTCCCTTTAGTTTCCTCACATGTATGTTAGGTTAACTGGTGAATCTTAATCAGCTGTAGGTGTGAATAATTCCTTTTTCTGTGTTAAACCTTTGATGAACTGGTGACCTAAGAGCTGAGAGTGGTCTCCTGGAAGATCTCATCATACTAAGAGATCTTTGAGATTCAACAGGGTTTGATTATTTAAGACTTTGTATATGATAAGAAGGATTCTAAATTCAATCCTGGATTTAACAGGGAGCCAGTGAAACTGGGCAAAACAGTGCAGATGAAAGAAAGCAGTCTTACATACTTGTTATATATGTATTGAATGACATCTCCTGATTACTGGAGGCAAAGGTAATGCTATCCATAGCAAGCATCTTATTACATACACCATATTTCTAAGGTTTTAGGGCCAAATATAATGACCTCACTCTTGTCTGAACTGTAAAGGTGGTTAGCGCTGTTGCCTCACAGTAAGAAGGTACTGGGTTCAAATCCACCATCTGGCCGGGGCCTTCCTACGTCAAGTTGTCTGTGCTCTGGCTTCCTCACCCAGTTCAAAGACATGCAGTTTGTAGGATTAGGTTAACTGGTGGTTCTAAATTACCTACAGGTGTGAATGGCTGTCTGTCTCTCTGTGACAGCCCTACAGGCAGTGTATCCTGCTTCTTACTCCATGGCAGCTGGGGCTGACTTCAACAATGCACGAAATTAGAGCTCACCCAGGCCTTTAAGAAATGCCTTTAGTTTAACCAACTGATTTGAGTGACTGCATGGATAAATAAAGCTGGGATTCATCTGATTAGCCATGAAAATGGATGTTGTGTTTTGTAATACTACCACTTAAGAGAAGTGTGTACAATATAAAAATTAAAGGTCCCGGCACAGAACCCTGAGGAACTCCATGACTCGCTGTGTGAGAAAGATTCCTCATTTACATCCACAAACTGGTATCAAATGCTGTACTGAGGTCCAGCAGAAGAACACAAATGAATTTACCATCAGAGAGTATGAGGAGGGTCCATTAGTACCCTTCAGTTGTGCTTCCCTCAGTGTTAAAACAGCAACACTGTGGGAAATGCTTAATGAAAATACAGATTAAATAAACCAAAAAAAAAAGAGTGATTCAAAAAATAAAATCACAGGAAGATTTAGTTCAGTTGTTATAGGATTACGGATGTAAATAAGCTGTTTTACTAAAATCTTGTTTGTACACTTGGCATACTAATGTTCTTGAACATGTGTTGTCCCCATTACTTACAAGAAAATGAAAATTGGAACCAGATAATCGGTTGGATTAAAATACAAGCTAACATCCACTTTAAAAAGATCAACATATTCACAATAAGTCTCGTGATTTTGCCACAGTGTTTTTTCTTATTGAAGTTCTCAAGTACAATATACATTTGTAACATAGGCATGTAACAGAATATAAGGATTAAATAGAATATATCAATTTCTCTACAGGCATAAACCCTCTATTGAGCTAGCAGCTACAGACAGATAAAACATTAACTCTTCAGATTAACTGAGAAGGAAAAAAATGCTGATTGTAATGTTGAATGTCGAGGTAGACAGAATATTTTCTGCCATGCTGATGACACCGGTGCCCTCCATCCCCTGGCTCCTCCATGGGATGTCTTGGCCTCATTTGTCTCCTCTCGTGTATCCTCTGTTCTTTAATGTCTTCTTTTAGAAGCCTTTTGATATTGCTAGAGTACCAATTCCTTCTGTGAAGCACTGCTTCAGCCAGTCTGTGGTAACCTGTCATAGATCCAGTTTAAGAACCCATCACCAATCCATTATCTGTAGTCCATGTGTACCTGTGGATGTCCTACATACAAGGTGCAATCAAAAAAAATCTGAGCTTGTGCCTGTTGAGAAAGAATCGACTGAGACATTGATTATGTGAATGTGAACGGGTGATTAAATTAACTTTTGTGAGTCAGGGGTCATTGATATTTTTGTATCCACGTGCAGGTGCACATTTATGCTGTGAAACAGGCACAGTGTCTCAGAGTCTGCAAGCAGATCTATCAACAGACTCCAGAATGAGCCAAAATCTGTCTCGCAGATCATCGATTTTAGTTGGCTGTTTTGCTTTGCCTTAACAACTAAACAGGTTGTTTTTGCAGGAGAAGAACCTAAAGTGCCAAAGCATGAAGTGCAGAACAAAGAGCATGCTTTGCATTGTTTTCTTCAACATTCAGTGTGTGCACTGTGAATTCATCCACAGTGTCAAACTGTCAATGAGGTCTGCAGCAATGTCCTGAGGGAGAAGATTCAACCAACACAAACTTTGGCACGACGGCAGCTCGGTGGTTCGTGGTGACATTGCACAGGTTCTTTGGCCACACTGACACACCCACTACCCACCCTATGCCTCGTGTTGTTGCTGAACAAGTAAGTCCCTACAAGCTGTTTGCTTAGATCATCCTTGCTCACAAAATGAGCTTCATATTAAGCAACAGCTGTTATTTGGAAGCTGTGGATGAGATGCAGCCTGTCGTAAAGACTACTTTACTTTTAAAGATTTTATAGATACCGTCTCTAAACTTTCTGATTGCACCTTGTACACGTGTGTTTGTGTGTGTGGCTCAGCTCCTGACAGCCAGCATGGAGTTGATCTCCCAGATGAGGTTGCGGAGTTGGTCCATGATCTGTTTCAGGTGCTGGTTCTTCTGCTTCAGCTTCTGTAGGAAAAACATAGAAAAGAGATGGGAAAAAGCATGTTTTAGATACAAAAGCAATAAAAACTACAAATGTGAGAGCAGTTTGGTTACTGAAAAAAAAAAAAAAAAGGCCTGCTTAAACAGTGTAAAACCAACAAAGCAATTATATACACACACAAATAATTACAGATTTGTTTGGAGCTACTACCCACAACAACACAAACGCTGATTCATACCATTTACTATAACACTGTAAATCCTTGTAACATAAATTACTTAACAAACGCTACTGAAGAAAAATAAATTCCAGATGTGATCTCGCTCCTAATGACGCTGCCACTTTGCCGCTCCCATTAGAAAACAAGCAAGTTCTAACCACAAAGTCTAGCTCGACAAATATTTTCAAAATTAGTATTAGTCAGTTATTCTGAAGGCAAATAAAATGTTAAAATACGCACACACACAACTTTTGACTGGGAAAGGCTTTTAGTGGGGACACTGCTGATACTTGGGCTGGTGTCAAAAATCACTGCCAGATTTGGGAGTGGTTTAGAAAAACGTCACGGTAAAAGGCGCAGGATTACGTCACTTATTCCTCCGTTCTACAGGGCTCAATTGTTCCTACAAAATGAGTCACATGGTGGCAATGTGCAGCTTGTTCCTTAATTAAGATAAACAACCCGCTTTAACCCTCGAGGGGCTTAGTTTGTATTTAACTGGTTCCTCCAAAAATCTGCACCGTAAGACACAAGCAGGTTGCGGATATAATTTTTTTAAGCACGCCATGCTTCGGTAAACTCAAAATAACATTATCAATAATTTAAATGGTAGAAAGTGAATTTCCAATATTTTATTCATTTTTCAATGAAATAAAGTGTTTTGTTTCTTCAAACTTGGCCTCTGACAAACAAAAGTACAGCTGAGTGCTTTTCTGGTTGTTTGTGTGTGGTGAAACCCTAGAGGGTTAATTCGAGTCAATCGTTCATCCACCATCCTGCTGCTATAAATGATCGGCAAAATAAAAAATGTGCATTTCTCTGCAGCTGAAGATTGTCTCCAACAATGAACCATTTAATCCCAGTCTGTCATAAACTACGGAGCCCCCACCTTTTGGTTAAAAATGATCCTTGCTGTACTTAAACATTTTGGTGGTTTTAATCTTATTGCTAAGAAAAACAGTGCCAATATCTAGCAGGCATCACGTTTACCTTGTTCAACATCTTACTTTACTGTATTAACATGCTCACATTTACTAATTAGCATCAGTTCCTTTGTGAAGCTGAGTGGTGTAGGTAATCAACATCTGATTGTGAGAATTCGTCCTGGATTGTGGAGAAAAATCAGCACTAAATGCAACTGCCTGTTTCCTGAGCTGCGCAGAATAAGAAGCTTGTTTTTCACCTGAAAAGCTGTTAAGTCACTACAACTCCACACTATACGGTGTAGTCTGTGGAAACAGAAGAGCTGTGTAGGTGCTGCTCTCTCTAATTCAGACTTTAGATGTACAGCTGCTCAAGTGGTGATTATAACTGTCAGCTGAACAATTCATAATCAACCGCATTAAGTGAAGAATTGAATAAAATACATTAGGAAATGTAAGGTTAGTAGCTGATGTCAAAAAACATATTCAAAATACAAACTGCCCATTGCTTAGACCAGGGGTAGGCAACGCCAGGCCTCGAGTGCCGGTGTCCTGGAGGTTTTAGATGTGTCCATGATACATCACAGCTGATTTAAAGGGCTAAATGACTCCTCAGCATTTCTTGAAGTTCTCCAGAGGCCTGGTAATGAACTAATCATTTGATTCAGGTGTGTTAACCCAGGGTGTGATCTAAAACCTCCAGGACACTGGCACTCGAGGCCTGGAGTTGCCTACCCCTGGCTTAGACCCAGCAGGGCGTCGGTTTAAGCCGAGTGAGCTACCGGGCTGAAAATATACTGGCAGAAAACCTAAGAAAAAATCAAAACTCACAAAATGTCACTTTCATTGAGTGAAACTAAGACTGTGGTCAAGATGAAATCAACAAATAATTCAACAACCATGTAACGGAAGCGAATTCACAAACCAACTTATGTTTAGGACAGGGGTGTCCAACTCCAGGCCTCAAGGGCCAGAGTCCTGCAGGTTTTAGATTTCACCCTGGGTCAAACACACCTGAATCAAATGATTAGTTCATTACCAGGCCTCTGGAGAACTTCAAGACATGTTGAGGAGGTAATTTAGCCATTTAAATCATTTATCTCACTGGCTTGATCTAGAACTCAAATATTCAAAAGGTTTCAACAAAGCTGTGAGGCTGAAAAATGAAGCCAAAAAGTGCAGTCTCTGTAACGGCTGGCTCCAGTCCTCACAGACTCCCATGTTAAAGCTTCCAGCAGTAATGCCATTTCATTTTTGACTTTCTGCTTTTCTTCAGATTAGTTTCCTGTCAGAGGCCAGACTGGAAATCAACACAGGGTTGGACCATCAGGGGTGGACAAATATTAATAATATTCCCAAGGGGCTACAAGGGAAACTGGGACTCTTGCGGAGGGCCATCCCAACGAACTAAATTCATCTTAATATTAATTTTTATCTCTTTATCTTTTTCTGAACTGCTACTGGTAAATGTTGGAGTTAGACCCCAGTTGAGGTCCCTTGAGGAAATTAGCTGCAGAGCGTTGTGGATGGACAGAACATATGAAATGTGTTTTGTTTTCCTCTTTCTGAAATGTGTATGGCAGGAGGCTTAATAAAAGCTTCAAAGCCACATTTAACTCCAGGTATTTCTCTCGCACACAATAAACAAAGTTTCCTCACCTGCCTGCTGACATCTCTCCCAAACACTCCCTGCTTCAGCTCACTTCATCAATCCTCGCCCCACTAATCGCTAAACTAACACACGCATCTGGCCTGTTTCGGGAGGGTACCGGTACATCACAGAGCAGCAAACAACACAATCTCCCAGTTAGTCACTCAGGGTTTTGTTCGCTGATTGCCTCTAAATGCCGCACCAAGATCTCTAAGTCAACAGCTGCCATGGACTGAAGTGCCTCATTGCCCAAGCTTTATACATAAACAAATAATAGCTCCTGAGCTGCTGTTGCTGGAGAGCCAGAAGAATAAAAGTGAGTACAGCTGCCAAATGTGGCTTTTGAAAAAATAACTCTGCCATTTGGAGGTTTGGGCAAATCAAGCAGCAGCAGTACATCACAGCGACTCGCTCAGCCGCTTCTCCTCTGATAGATATCCAGAGTGAGTGAGGGGGAGAGAAAGAGGAGAGCTCCTTCACTCAGGAGCTACTGTATCTGCAGTGCAGTGAAATCTATTAAGATTAAATCCATCTCACCCTCTCTCGCTAACACTCCTTTAGCCATGACTAATTACCAGCCATTTTTGCAGCGCAGATAACACCTTGAGCAATCGATTTCACACAGCTCTTTTAATATCAACTGTTTAGCTGATTGTCCTTGAAGATATTCCACAGTGGAACATTTGGAAGCCTTCCAGTCTTTCTCCCCCTCACTCTTCCCCTCTCTCTGGGGGGCTCTAAAAGCATCTCAAGCTCTCTTACTCCATCCTACCTTCTATCTCTCCAACTTACACTTTGAGTCTTAAGTGTGTGTGTGTGTGTGTGTGAGAAGATGGCAGTGAGTGTGTATTAAAAGGGATATGCCTCATTAATCTGACAAGCAAGTCTTGAAATAACTCGGTCATTTACGTATTAATGAGACGATACCCAGAGTCTTTGTAATCTTCCTCCAAGAATACAACGTTGCTCCCCTTTTTTTAAAAAAAAGTGAAACACTTTTTGCTCCATGAAGCTTCAAAAAAAGGAGCTGCACTCAGAAATATGTTTTTCATCTTGCTTTTTAAGAATAAAACAGCCACATATGGCTTCAAAGATGCATTTTTTGTCTTCACTTTTGAATACAGACTCTTCCACAAAATTGTGCCCTATGCTTTTTTTGAAAGCAGGCAATAAAATTATACATTTTTCACAGTGGAAATAAGACTATAGAGGCAGCAAAGCCTTCACAGCACATTTATTATAAAAGGCTCGCTGGCATATCTTGATATATGAATAACAAGACTGCTATTATCACAGTAATGATTCAGCAACCTCAGGGAGATATAATTCCATTCATAACCTCATAATTAGCGGAACTCTAATCCTTCACACCTATAATGCAATATTTGGAGAAAGGGTTTACAATAGAGAACAAAGAACTCTGAACTGTCTCCTCTTTGTCTGAATTACCAGGCGTTTTGCACACACTTCAGGAATCCAGCAAATACGCTCCCTCGTTTCTCTATGTTCGGACCCACAATAATGTTCTGATGTCCTTTCAATCCACAGCAAGAGCACTGACAGGCCATCGCCCACTGCAGGGTGGCCAGTCAACAACTCATGTCTGTCTGAGTCCTGTCTCCGAGGGCCTCCTGCAGACTGGGAGACTTCCTACCTGCTTCGTATAACCTGGAAACGCTGGTAGTAGTCTGCGGTAGAGCTTAAAAGAACAGCGACCTGAGATAGAAACTGTGATTGGCACGCCCAGAAGAGAAGCAGCGAGATGAGGGGAGTGAAAATAATGGTCCAGAACAAGTGTTTAGGTTGTGATGTGTGTGTGTGTGTACATGGAAAGGGTGGGAGGATAAGGGTGTGTTTGTGTGCATCAGTCTCTGTCGTGCAGGTGATTTATCCACAGTTTTTACTTTGGACGTTAAAAATCAGAATCAAGACATCTGTGGTTTGCAGAAATCAATGATTCAAAAGGAGAACGCAAGTCACGCTGTTACGTTAAAAAAAAAAGGCTTTTACTTTATCTGTTGTGCGGACAGAAAGCCACAGCAGCCACGATCACCGTTTATCACAGAAGCTCGGTGCTGTTTGCAGGTTCTGTATTTGAACATAATAACACTGCAGCCAAAGCCATGTAACAACCGCCTCATCTTACTGCATATAAAGGGGAATATGGCAGAGGTTGACAGGTTTTAGATTTGGAAAAAGAGTGAATCAATACTCAGCAAAGGTCAAATA